GTGCAGGTACTTGGGGGGGGGGGGGGGGCTCTGCTAGGTCAGTGGGGATGGGAGCTCTCCCCTGAAAAGTCTGCTGATGTGGGACATCTCTGGCTTGGCCTCTTCTGACCCTGCTTCTGTTTAGCTCCCATTGATGGTGGATCACAAAACCTCTTGCTGCTGGGGTCTGCTTACCTGGTGGCCAGTGTGCAAGACAACCAAAGCCCAGCTACTGTCTGTGACATCCACTATAAGAACTCCTTGTCATGCAGTGCATGTGTAGGCAGCTTCCCACCCTGCTGTGATGCTACTTTAAGAAGATTGGCAGGTCCACTGTCCCACCAGGAGGTGAGACAGTAGTCTCCCCTTCTTTTGAATACCTTGAACCTCTCAAGTGGTGTTCTTGGAGGCCTCTGTCATTTGGCATTATGGAAGAGGACTTCATCCATGGGAGCAGAAGGGAAAGCCACAGGTCTCTCCCAGCTCTAACAGACTTGATCCTGATGATTCCCTTCCTCTCTTCTTTCCCTAGTTCTCTTTTTATCTCCAGCAAGGGTGAAGGGTGCTAAGGGAGCAGAACCAGTTTAGTCACCCCTTACCAAGCCCTAGAGTTGGTGTTGTCTCCAATTTATTTGCTGCTTCTTTTAGAATTTAAACTCTTTTTTGTCCTAGCCTCAAAAATGAGTCATAAGGAAATGTCTCTTTGGGAGTTCAGTTATAAACATCTGTTGAGGGGACCAATTAATATGTATGCTATGTGGTCAGCTCCTTAAGGATCTTCTGTCCAAGCTGGGCTCCAGGGCACTGGTCACTGGACTGGAAGGTACTTGTTGAGAGGACTGTATTTCCTATTTCACTAAGGAAGAAAGGAAACAAACCAAGCTACTGCCTACTAGATATGTGTATCAGAGGCAGAACTGAGCATGGTGAGGCCCAGGGGGAAGGCAGGAGCGATGAAAGGAACATAGCAGCTGGAAGGAGTGGGACAGAGGAATAGAAATATGAGAAATGAGAAGATGATGGGAATAGAAAATGAGGGTGATAGAAATTTGGAAGGGGAGAATATAGTGGAAGAGAGAGGAGGAAAGACTGACAGGCTGGGGATGGGGAAGGGTACTGGGCCACACCATTTGGCTCTAGCTTGCCCCCTGGAGCACAGAGCTGGACAGAGCAGTTGGTGAAAGAGAGCAGGGCCTGTGGTTACCATTTGCCAGCCGGTGCCAGTGGCTCTGGGCTGAATCTGTCTTCTCTCCACCATGCAGTCTTCTGAGGAGGTTAGAGAAGGGGAGGACATGCAGAGGGGGTATGAGGAGCAGTGAGCACACCTGTCCAGGTGCAGGGGCTGCCATTTTAACAAATGCACTTGAACAGAGTCCAGGGGCACTGTGGAGGAGGTCGGTCATTTCATTCCTGGATAAGAAATGACAACAAGTGATGGAACATTTCTAAGGCTACTTTGGTTATACCAATAGTTGTGTAAAATTATCATGGCCAATAAAGCTTTTTAAAATTCAAATGCCCAATGCAGAATTTTGGAAAGACTTCTTCTCCCAACACCCCAGCCCCATTCCTTCAAAGGGCTCATTAGGGTGAAGCACACCCTAATGTGTGTGGCCTGGCATGTGGATGGGCTCAGTGAGTGATGGTTCTCATGCAGTAGCCACCAACATGGGGCCTAGCACCTAACATGGGTAGGCCTTTGGTACTTAGTGAATGAACTCACTGATTTGAGGGTCCAGGTCTAATTTATGTGTATTTACCTTGTCTCACCACCAGGACCCAATCTGAGCAGTTTGCTTGGGCAAAGCCAGATATGATGGTGGCATTGTCTTAGTTCCCAGGAGCTCCCGGCCTTGCTAACCTTCTATGTGTAACCTTGTGCTGGCTGTTAACACAAGCTTTGATCCTCGGGGCAGAGCTGGTGAACCTGGTGGTCATGAGGCTTGGGGAAACCACAGGAAATTTTAACCTGGGAAGGGAAGGTGTATAGTAGCCAGGAACAGAGCAGGGAAGAAGGTGGAAAAGAAAACCAAGTCCCATGGACAGGTCTGGAACCATGAAGCTAGTAATCAGAACGGCAAGAAGCTTAGAGACATCTCGTGCCTTCCTGTTCAAAAAGTGGTCCATGAGCAATAGCATCAGTTTCTCCTGGGAGGTGCGGAATTTTGGTCAAAAAAAAAAAATATATATATATATATATATACACATTTTTTTGAGATAGAGTCTCATTCTGTTGCCCAGGCTTGAGTGCTGCGGTGTTGGCCTAGTTCACATCAACCTCAAACTCCTGGGTTCAAGTGACTCTCCTGCCTCAGCCTCCCAGAGTGCTAGGATTGCAGATGTCAGCCACCTGCCCCGGACTTTCCTCTGCATTTTAACAAGAACCCCAGGTGATCTGGTGGCAAATGAAAGTTTGAGAAGCACTGGTCTGATCCAAGGCTTAAACTTGCTGCAGCGGTGGGGCCAGCAGAGGGCAGTGCTGCAAAGCTTGCTGGAACCTGCAGAGGACAGTGAGAAACAACAGTTTACGTGACTAGAACTTTGTCCAAGAAAAATGTCCTGAGTTCACTGATAAGTGAATAAATTAATCCACTGAGTTTAGATGTATAAAAAATATACATAAGAACCAGGCTTTGCCGTTGCCCTGCAATTTCCAGAGAAGGGAACTGTCTTGGCATAAGGTATCCTTGAGGCAAATCTAGCTTCATGGCTTTGTGACATGTGCCCATGTTGAGAAGGGCACTGCGCTGCTGTCACTATCTGGAAATTCTTAATTATTTTGTCGTTCAATGTATACTTTTAAAAATATGTATTATTATTATCTTTTTAGACATGAGGTCTGGCTCTGTTGCCTAGGCTGGAGTGCAGTAGCTATTCATAGGTCAGATCATATCTCATTGCAGCCTCTAGCTCTTGGGTTTAAGCATCCTTCTGCCTCAGCCTCCTGAATAGTTGGGACTGCAGGCATTTGCCACTATGCCTGGCTTCAGATAGTACTTTTTCAATGAAGTCTGTTGTGACAGCCTGTGAGATGTGTGTGACATGCAGACCTCCCACCCTTCTGTGTTGCCTCACACATGTAGAGCGCTCCCAGGAACCTAGGAGCACAGCCTTCACAGTAGACCCACCCACAATGTGTGGGGCAGTTCAGTGAGATAGGCAAAGCCCGGACAAAGTCATCACGTTATGGCTTCCACAGACTGTTAGGAGAATGTGTGTGGGTCAAGAAGTAAAATAAGAACAGTTAAGTCAGGTTATTGCAGCATTTTCACTGCTCTGGTAAGAACAAAATACATATGCATGCATGAGCTATGAAATATGAATTGAATAATTTCAGTCATGCTGCATATAAATTAAAAGTTCTTATTTTTGCATTTAAAATTCACATTGTAAAATATAGATGTAAAATTCATGATAATTTAATATGTTCATTTGCCTGTAGTTAAAACAGCATTAAATGGCAAATAAAAAAATATCATCTCAAGTAGAGAAACTCCAGAAGAAAGGAAAAAGCTTAATATTTAGTAGTTTTAATGACATTTCCACCCTGCTTTTTGAACACAGAAGCCCAAATTTTCATTTTGCACTGAGCCCCACAAATTTTGTACCTGGCACTCCCTCGAGGCATGGGAGAGGCCAGGGACAGTTGATCCCTGTGACATTGGCCCTCTGAGGTGGGATTTGCCTTGGATTTCCAAGTACAATAATTAGAAGTAATAGACCCATGATGTCTGGAGGGGTTGGCAGGTTTATCGGCAGCTGAGGATCAGTTTATCGGTGCTGATTTGTGACATAAAGTGGCATTCATTTCCTTCTTATTGCTTCTCCCATAAATGCTGTTTAAATTCTGTTCCTCTGTGTATGATACTGTGTGTGCATGTGTGTGTGTTTCCACAAGAAAACCCTCTCTTCCATTGAGAAAAGTGAGAGGAAGGGGAACAGTGCTGCTTGTAGATAGAGACCCAGACAGTCCTGCTGGGGACACAGGCTGCTTGGAGGGTGGTTGGGATTGGACTACAGGCTGGGTGGGGGGATGTGTCACACAGATCCCGAGTTGTCTTGTAACAGACAAACCAAGCTTTCTTATCACACAGGTGCAATGCAGGGCAGGCAGCTGTCTTCCAAACGCTGGCTCCGGCTGGGCTACTTGCATTATGGCCCTCTCTCCTGCTGTCAGTTCTACCATACTCTACTGCCCAGACCCAGTCACAGGGCCCCAGCAAGATGCAGGGAGAGCTGGGAAAAGAGGTCTTTCTACTGACCTGGGGAAAAATATATTTAGTAAAATGTGGATTTTAATAAGTCAAAGGTAACTGGAGGTTACGTGCTCTGACCTGCACTGGTTTTGTATAGACCTAGACTTCCACTGCCATCTGGCAAGAGGTCATTTGGCTATTTGTGACCTCCAGACCATCTGTGTTCTTGAGCAACTGTGCCCTTAGATAAAGAAACTAAAGAAAATCTGTCAAAAGATAGAAAGAAAAGGGAAAGAAAATAAAACTGTTAAAGTTTTCCATTTGCTTTGTTGGGGTATCCAGGTGACAGGAATATAAAGCAAAATTCCCAGGTGTTCTACGGTGGTGGGCCTGAGGACACCTACCTGCGTCTAATGGAAGACCCTGGTGAGAACATCATGTCAGCTTGATGGTTTTATTGGATCCTGTGACACAACGAGGACTTAAAGAGTTGCCCATGATGCAAAATGGTGAAAGAGGAGAGAGAACTTAACTCCCCATGAAGGGCTTAGGAAGGACCCTATCTTTGTAGTGAAGTTGCATACTAAGTTCTAGGGGAGTAAGCCTGACCCTAAGCTCACAGGAGACATAAGAAGTGTGGGCCTCAGTGGGGCTGGAATGAGGCAAACCACTGGAAACGGGGCTAACACTTGGTAGGCAGGTAGTCTTTGTGTCTCTATGTTCCAATTTGTCCAGGCTGATGGACCAGATGTATAACTTCAGGAATCCAAATCACACCAAATGTTTATTTCAACAAATAAGAAAACATTTGCATAATGTAGTCACAATTTCTGATGGGAAGAATCTATCAACATTCAAATAGATACATTATAAAAAACTAGGGGATATAGAATTAAATAATAGTTTTTTAAAAGTTGATTTGAAAATCCTCATTGATCCTTCAACAACACATTTTTTTCCCATCTCATATAGTCAGCACTGCTGTCTCAGGACCATGTTTTCTGCTGAAGACAAGATCTTCTGGTTTTGAAGTTTCACTCTTGAGTTAGAAGAGCTCGTCTCAGGTAAATAGGAGGCCAAGAATGGTGGGTACCATGACGATTAGCCAACTTGCAATCCAGTTTACTCCAGAAGAGCTAGATCTGGCTGAAAGAACAAGAAAATCCCAAATATTTTTGTGTCTTGATTAATGTGTTGAGAAAGGGCAGGAGTACTGGATATTGCCATGAGAGCTTGTAGAGAAGGGGAATGAGTTTCTTTCCTGATCCATTACCAGTGAGCCTGTGACATTCTCATTCTCATGTGAGCTCAGTCTTTCCAGACATGAAGTTTAAAAAGCAGGAAAAGAAAAAGAGTACAGAAGTACTCCTAGTACTCCCCTAAATATCACTGGTTAGCTGGGTCCTATGCTTGAAAGTTGCCTTGACCTATCCATGGCCTGGGAAAGAATCACTCCCCTACCCTGCGATCAGTGAATGAGGCAGGGCAGAGCTCCAGGTTTGAACCAGTGTCCACATAATGCTGTACTCAGCGGACTTTAGCAAGGGAAGGACCACTTTAGTTCCTTGTTTCTCTACCCTACTAGCCATCTGCACCAACTAGGAGGACAAGGAAAAAGGAAGGAGAAACCGAAAGGGAAAGAAAAGAAAAGGGATGGAAAGGAAACACAACATCCCTTAGATGTTGGAGTGCGGTGGGGTGGGGTGGGAGAAAATCAAAAGGAAAAGGAAATGAGTGATAACTAGGGAAAGGACATTAAGGGTGCTACAGAGTGACGAAATCGGTTTAGCCCTTCCCTCCAATGGATGTATTTTTGCTTTTATCCTTTCTGAAGATGAGAAGTCACCCCTGTGTCATAAAGGATAGGGATTGTGCCTCTTCGTTTTTCTGGATCTCCAGACATGGTATTGTTATGGAGGTGACATTGAAACTGCCAAGCCAAGTTGTGGTCCCATGGTCAGACACTAAACTATTGTGCTGGGCCTGTTGATGGCAGAAGAGCAGGGTCTATCAGGAGGGGCTTGAAGAGACACAGCTAGTTAGCAGGGAAGAATAAGGAAGAGTGTGCAACTCTGTAGTCCATGTGTGGGAGTGGAGGCAAAGAAACCAGCAGAGGTGAGGAGAGTACAGCCCAAGGAGAACATGAAAGAGCAGTGCTCCCAGGGATCAGGATGCCTGATGAATGGGCATGACAGGGATCACAGGTAAACATTGACACCATAGGCATGAGTTATTCTGGAACAATTTTTGCATCAGGGCTCAGGGATCTAACATCAGGGGTGTTTAAATCCAGGCCCCGAGTGCTGGAGAAAGTGATCAAGTTTATTAAGGTGTCCTCAAAATCCTAACATCTCCTAAGTCAAAAGGGCCAAGCTCGGTGTTGCTCCCATTCATTGAGCACTTGTCAAATACTGTGTTAGGTAAGTAACATGTGTTGTCTCATTGAATCCTCATAACACCACGAGACAAGAACTATTGTTTTTTCTTTTACTTAGGAAAAACAAGCCTTAGTGAAGTAACTTGTGTAGCTAGTAGGTGACAATACCAGGTTTGACTGACTGGAATGCCTATGGCCTCAGCTGTCCTACTCTTGCACTGGTGCAGGATGATCTAGTGCCGGCAATGATGTCCCAGTGAGTGGATTCTCCAGGAGACACAGGGAGATGTGTCTTTCTAACTTGACCTAGGAACACACAACTGTGGAGGACAGTCTCCACTTGAAGTCCATGCCCTCACTCCTGTTCACAGGCCTGTCTCATGCTGGTCTCCACAATCCTTCTCTGCTTGGCTCACTGAGGCCATGGATGTGGCTGGAAACCCTTCTAGGCACCTGCCCTCCCCCTTGCCCTTTTCCTCCCTGCTCACCATGATGTCTCAGACTGTCCTACAGTTACCCTGGCCTCAGAGGATAGTGCCTTTACAGAGTAGGGAAAAGGGAGCATCAGGGATCCTCTGTCAAATGCCCTTAGCACGTGAGACCCCAAGCTCCGCAGAGGTGAGGGGCACTGGCTCCTGGGTGGTGGGAGAGCCAGCAGCGGCTCCCAAGTGTCTCTCTCAGACCCCCCCCCAACCCCCCCACCCCCACACTGTGTGCCAGGAGGCCATGTAGGACATCCATGCCTTTCTTCATTTAAAAGAAAACTAATTGCCTTGTGCCCACTCCAGGTCCCTAGGGGATATTTCTTACACAGAGTGCAAGGTGGAGTGAAATAGACGGTGTCACTCTCGCTGCTCACAGGATTGCTGACGAGGCAGGTGTAAAACATGGAGTAGTTTTGTGGCACAAGCACGTTCAGTTCAAGGGCGCTGCTCAGACATTCCTTTGGGAGGGGCCCTGAGTCCTCGAGCCAGGTGCAGGTGCAGTTCACACACTGGTCAGGAGACTGGTCGGGTATCGCGCATGACAGTTTCATGTAACAGTTGTTGTTCTCTTGCCTTATCGTCTCAATTTTTATGACAGGCTTGCGAACGGGGTCTGAAAATGAGGAGGATGTTAGCAGGTGAGACCTTGAGGGATCAGTGCTGTGAGGGTTTAGGCAACAAAGACTGAAGGGAGCCAGGGAGAGTCCCTGCGCGCCGCAGGAGGCAGAGTCCTGGCGAAGAGGCCCCTGCAGAGGGAGGCGGTGAGCAGCCCTGATTCTCGGCAGGTGCAGCTCCCCAGCGGTGAAGCTAAACTGGACCAGGAGGGGGCGCCAGGGTCGATTACATGTTCTGAGAGCAAATAGGGTTCTGGCGGTCTGTGAGCCAGGAAGAACTAACCCAGTGTTAGCAGGGAGATTGGCTGGGGACAGACTTAGTATCCCAACCCGCTGCGATGCTCACGGCCCCTTTTCTGGCAGTGGTCCACGCCGGCACCTTGGTTGATCTGTCCCTCAAGAATTCTCAGGCTCAGATGCAGCGAGAGCCCTGAGGGGAGTTTGCCCAAACACCCAGAGGACGTGCCATCCTCATGAACTCTGACACAGAGAGGGAGAAGAACCTTGTGCAACCCCCGCACAGGTCAGACGTGACGAACCGGTCTGTTCACTGGAGTTTCTCAGGGCCTGGCACGATGCCTGCCATGTAACAGGGATTCCGTTAAGTATCTGATGAGGGGATGAAGGAACGAATGGTTATGAGCTAGAAAGGACAAAGCACCAGCTTTGGCAAGAGACCAGCCTGCATCCTGGACTTGGCTTTGGTGGGATGGCAAGGAAGTTAGTCCCCCTGTATTCATCTGTTAAATGACTCTGCCTCATAGCACACTGTGGGTAAGATAAACTGACACCTGCCATGGAGAAGCGCTTTTTGCACAGCATATGTGTTGCCTCCATGCTAGAGGTTACATTACCATCATGACTGTTGTCCTGCAGCCACACGGCATGAGCAGGAATCTCAGCATCTGGCCCTTCCTTGGCCTGGGGAGGCTTACCTGAATTCTTATGGAATCTTTTCGTTCTGGTCAAGGGTAAAAACACCTGCAGAATCTGTGCAGCTCAGATGCTGCAGGATTAAAATGTGGCCCAGAATTGATCAGGTCAGAGCTTGCCTCTGGCTTGTATGTTTGGAGAGGCTATAGAAACTCTACCAATCTAGCCTCCAGAATTGGAGTTACATCTCCTCTGTGAAGTTCACTCAGATTGCTGTACTTCCCCTCTGTGCTTTAACTGAGCAATTTTTTATACTGGTTTTCATCATTTCCTGTGTTCTGACCACATGTCATGTGACCACAACTTCCACATTTACCATGGTGATCGGTCCAGCACTGGGCACAAACTGGATGGCATTTATTGAGCCACTTTGAATGGGCTGACTCTCAGATGCTGTCAGAAATTTTTGGCCTGGACTGAAGGAATATTTTTCTGTTCATCACATCCTGGGAATCTTACTCAAGGTGTGCTAAAGTTAAGCTGGTTTGTAGATTTTTAGGTATTTGGAAATTTTGAAAGCTTTTTGTAAAACTACAATAAAGGACCGGGCAGAAGTAACACCCCCTTGACTAGAGTGTGATATTTTTACGTTACAGAATTACATGGTTAGGAATTTGTAATAAAGATCGGTGTAGACTACCAGCTCATAAAGAAGGGGCATTATTAACCCCATTACTTGTAATTTGCATTATTTGCATGTAATTCTGTAACATAACAATATCACACTCAAGCACAAAAGGGCATTACTTCTGCTGCACCCTGTGTGTTGGAATCAACTATGGTAGAAGTATTTAAAACACAGAAATTATAAAGTTAGCAAGTCATATAAGTTAGGGATTTCTTTTCTTTTCTTTTTTCCTCAATCTTAGAATGCTGTTTAACCAGAACACTACTCCAAGAGACTTTGAATATTTCCTATTTCTAGGACCTCCTGAATTTTGAGGCCATATAACATACAATAGTGGTTCTCAACCTTCCTAATGCTGTGACCCTTTAATACAGTTCCTGTGGGTTGAGAACCCCTGACACAGAGGAAATGAGTAGGAAGGAGCTTCTGGCCTCTCAGACCAGGGACTACCTACCTCATGGAACTTGAATATATACAATGGTCTTTATTTGCACTGCTTTAGCATTTTAGAAAAGTTTTCATTATCTGCTTTGGTCCTCATAATATTCCCCAATTTAGATATAATTATCCTCATAATACACGGATGATGAGGAACCCAAGACTCTGACGTGAACCTCTGACTTGGATATCTGCCCAGACCCTCTTCTTCAATAATTGCCTACCCTAAACTTTGCAGGCCCCCCAAGAACCATGTTTCTGCCTTATAACCTGATCTTCTTGGCTATGGATGTTTAGATCGGGTACACACACCTGAACCAAACTGGGTCACTCAGTTTCCCTCTCTTTAAGTTTCCTTGTGAATCAAAACTCAGAGGAATAGAAGTCCAAGCTAAAGATAAGTCATGAAAATGGGAGGGATCCGTAGGCACAGTCCACAGATTCCTGAGTCTGAGGACTCTGGACTAGCCCTGTTTTTCAATCTTCCTCTCCTTCAGTCCTGAACTCTTCTCAACCCCTTGAATTTCTTTAAGTAGCCCTAGTTTCTTAAAATAAATTTTCTTTTCTTTTTTTTTTTTTTTTTTTGAGACAGAGCCTCAAGCTGTCCCCCTGGGTAGAGTGCCGTGGCATTACAGCTCACAGCAACCTCCAACTCCTGGGCTCAAGCGAGTCTCCTGCCTCAGCCTCCCAAGTAGCTGGGACCACAGGCGCCTGCCACAACGCCCGGCTATCTTTTGGTTGCAGCCGTCATTGTTGTTTGGCGGGTCCGGGCTGGGGATTCGAACCCGCCACCTTAGGTGTATGTGGCTGGCCCCTTAGCCGCTTGAGCCACAGGCACCGAGCCAATAAATTTTCTTTATAAAGGTAGATTGAAGTACTTTCTGTTACTGGATGTGAAAAGAATCTTACCTAATATGGGCACAGAAATGTTAAGATCTTTCTCCAAGGTCACACAGAACTCTAACCAGAGTTCTGAACCCAGGTCCGTCTGGCTTCAAGTGTAACCTCTGCTCTTTTTTCCATATATGCTAGTTAGGTGGGAGCTCTGAGTGGAAGTCTCTGTCCCACCCATTCAGAAAAGTAAAACCCCTCCTAACAACCCCTGCCCCATCCTTTGTATTCTTTCTTCCCTTTTAGTCAAAGTTTAGAGATATAATTAAATTGATCTCAGAATTGATTTAGGTTGATCACAGGGGAGAATAAAGACACTAGAGAGGAAATAATCTCTATTTCCTTCTCTTCCAATCTTAGATTCACTAATGTCAGAAGAAATATTAATGGGCGGCGCCTGTGGCTCAAAGGAGTTGGGTGCTGGCCCCGTATGCCGGAGGTGGTAGGTTCAAACCCAGCCCCAGCCAAAAACTGCAAAAACAAACAAACAAACAAACAAACAACAACAACAACAACAAAAAACAGAAGAAATATTAAATGTCCTATGTTTATTAATGATCAGTTTTGTCCCAGGTCTGCTACCTAAGCTCACTCCCAAATAGAACTGGCTCCAGGAAAAGTGAATTAAGCCTATCCTGAATTTTTTTTCTCTTCCTCCCTTGCCTCCCCAGAAGCCTCCCAGTGGTCCGCCAAGGCCCCTGAAGTTGCCCTTGGGCTCCCCTAACTCACCAAACACCTGCAGTAGAATATTCCAGGTTTGCGCTACTCCAGAGGCATTCAACATCTTTATGCGGAAAGTGCTGCTGTCATCTTTCTGGGTGTTAGAAATGTTCAGGGCACCACTTTGGGGATCAAGTGTGACCCTGCCTTTAAATTTAGAATCAAAGTACTTTGGGTTCATAGGTTTATCAGGACTCCATTCTACAATCTTCTGCTGGGCGGTGTACAACCAGGTCAGTTTGGTGTAGTCATCCGGCAGCCTCTCAGGGATTTGGAGGCTCACATTGCTGCCAGAGATGGCTTTCACTACAGGTGCCACATGATCTGCCAATGAGAGTCAGAGTGAAAGCCACCTTAGAGGAGAAATGACACTGATAAGCCCACAGCTTAGCCTGGGCTGGTGGAACAGGCAGGAGAGGAGGGATTTCTGCTTGGGAGCAGTGAGTATGGTCTTCCTCAGAGGTCTTGGTCTCCTAGGCAGGAGTTCAAGAAAAGTTGGAGTTTAAGAAGTAGGTATGGGGAAGGGAGTATTGTTTATAATCCATGTAGCGCTGCCCCCAGACAATAAGAAAAAGGATACTGTGGCTGGCCTTGGCTCTCTCCATTCTTCTGATACCAGTACATTTTCAAATAAAATAACAATAGGTCATGTTCTCTCTGACCCTGTGTTTCCTAGAATAGTCTTAGGGGAAATGTGGGTACTAATGGAGGGAGATGGTAGACTTCATTGTAAAGAGTTAAGTAGGTCACACCTGAGCAAAGACTTGAAGGAACAGAGAGGTAAACAAGACATCTGGGGTAGGACTGACCCAGGTAGGGGTAACTAGAGCATAGGCCCTGTGGTGGGAGCCTGCCCACCACATATAAGCAACAGCAAGGGGTAGTGTGGATTGAGCCAGGGAACAGGTGTTGATCAGTGAGGGAATGGGTTTGGAGAAAGTGGGTAAAGCTATTTTAGGTTCACTGATGATGCGTTATCCTATAAAAAACTCCTCCCTGTCAAAATGCCTCATGTCCTAAGCAATGCATTTATAATGTATTTAGAAGCAAGTTGTTAGAAGGTAAGAAAATAGAGGCTGTTTGTCTAAACCATTATTTGACAAAGTTTGGATCAGAGGCAGATGTCCTGTGAAAATGATAAAGCTGAAGCTTCAAGCACCCTTGTGTGGCCCTGGAAGGACCCTAGGGATGTATTCATGTGCTGAGACAATGTTTTTACACTACACACTGTTTCTTTAAACACAGATAATTAGACCCTTGCCTCTGCCTATCCCCAACATCCCTGTGTCACATTTCTACTTGTGTTCGATGGTATCTCAGTTGTGGGCATTTTGGGATCTGGCTTAGAACCAGGGAATATTTTCTTGGGTTTTGTGGGTTGTATATATGTGGTGTGCGGTACTTGCCTGCCAGGTCGCTGAAGGAATGGCCTGTGGGGACATTCCTGCAGCCCTTCACTGATTCACCTGCTGTGTCTTAGCATGTTGCAGTAGGGTTGAAGTTGGGAGGTAAAGATTAAGCCAGGTTTGAAGTGAAAAAGGGACAGTGCTATTTAATGGCAAAGTATTGCAGAAGTTTGAAGACATTTAATTAATTAAAAACATTATGCTATTTTTCTGGCTTTAATGATTTATGTAGTATTTGTCAGCTAATTAAAACTTGTACTAATTCATCGGGATTTTTTTTTCATCCTAACTGAATTCATTTTTGTTCTTATTTGTTCTCCTTTTCCCCATGAAGATGCTCCAAATTGTATAAGTCTCAGGTACTAAAAACCTGGTCTGGTTAAGACAAGGAGAAAGAAAAGACAATAGGGAGAAGGTGCAGGATGAAGGAAGGTCTGTTGGCTCTTTTTAAGGAGGAAGGAGACCCAAGAATACACACACATAAATTGAGGAAGGGTAGAATAAAGCTTCAGTCACTTAAAGATAAAAATCCCCCAGGGCTTTCAAGTTCCTATTCCTTCATTCTTCCAAATATCCATCTATCTATTCAACAAACATTCCGGTAGGGTAGAGCGTTCACCCTACCTGCGGACATATGTAGACACAACCAGACGTTCATTTCCACAGTGCTTCTGATTGGTCCAGTCTGTAATCTATAATACCTCTGACAGAATGGGTTCAGTCCCAGAAATAGTCACTGCACAGCCATGATGTGTCCGGCTCAGTGCTAGGCTCTGATGTCAGTGATGCAGGTAGAGTCTCTGCCTTTCAGAGCATACAGCCTAGGAGGACATTCTCTCCAGAATTTTTTTTTTTTAGACAGAGCCTCAAGCTGTCACCCTGGGTAGAGTGCTGTGGCATCACAGCTCACAGCAACCTCCAACTCCTGGGCTCAAGAGAGTCTCCTGCCTCTGCCTCCAAAGTAGCTGGGATTACAGGCTTCTGCCACAACGGCCGGCTATTTTTTGGTTGCAGCAGTCATTGCTGTTTGGCGGGCCCAGGCTGGATTCAAACCTGCCAGCTCAGGTATATGTGGCTGGCACCTTAGCCGCTTCAGCCACAGGCACCGAGCCTCTCTCCAGAATTTTAAAGTCACTAGCCATATATCCTAGACATGTTTTCCTTCTGTTACTTGTTCCAAGTGAATTAATAGAAGTGGTAATGATAGGCAGCCTAGAGCATCGTTTTTTAATCTTGGCACCCTTGACATTTAGGACCAGATAATTCTTTATTATGAGGAGCTGTCCTGTGCCTTGTAAAATGTTTAGCAGCATCGCTGGCCTTTGCTCATTAGATGCCAATAGCACCTATACAGTTGTGACAACCAAAATTGTATTCTGATATTACCAAATGTCCCCTGAGGGACAAAATTGCTTCCCTTCACTGCAGTTGGGAGCTACTGGCCTAAGTCATCCTTGGTAGACTCTCTAATAATTTCAGACATACACTCAGGGAATATAGCACAACCACTATCTGGTGACAAAGGCAGGTAGTAAACATCAGACAGATTATTTCAGTATAATTAGAACACTAACTATGGATATACATAGAGTGCTATGTCTTCCTTCCTTTCTTAACTACCTATGTGTAATGATTCTTAAAGACTGTCCTAATGGGTGGTTGTGACTTCTTACTGAGAAATAAAGTGGTCAAGTGCTGATAAAAATTTTGATCTAGTTTCCTGAAAATTCCATCTTTTAGAAGGTAGGTGAAGCAACTATTATTTTGATTTAATTCTAACAGGAAGAAGTAGTTGTCAATGTGCCTGGATGCTTACACTAAAGTAACAGTGTTTACCTGGACCTTATAATAAAAAAGAACAGATTCTTCCTGTGCCCACCTGTATTTCTTATCTATAGAAATGCAGAATTATAAGGGGAAAAAGTCAAATTAAAGAAAGTCATACTATCATACCGATGAGTCCACTCAGGAAAAGCAAAGGGATTCTAAAGGAGAAGTTCTGCTTACTCTATAAGGCACGTGGTTTCTAGTAAAACATTTAAGGAAGCAAAGGAAGCATGTTTTGAAGATACTGAGATGAAGTCACCTGAGCTCTCAGATGAGATCAAAGATTTAAAGAGTCCATACAAACCCTCTAAGGAAGTAATTTGTCAGTACCTTAAGACCACAGACTTGTGTCTTGGTGACAAGATAAGCAGGGCACCATTTCCTGAGATGAGAAGTATAATGTGTTCAGTAAGCAACAAGGCAATGGAATTTGAAGATGAGGAATAAGAGACAACAAAAATGGGCTCCTCTTTGAAGAAATTTCAGCGTGGATGGGAAGAATGATAGGGTGTGTATGGGAAGGAGAATGAAAGTTAAAGAGAATTTTTTGGTTTTGTTCTTAGATTAATTTAAGGAGGGAAAAGACTTAAGCAATGATAACCCAAGGAAAGGTGCCAGTGGAGATGTGGAGAGAGGGGAAGTGACAGATGGGCCTGGTCTAGTGGCGCTTCAGCTTCTGACAGAAAGACAGGTGGTAGTGTGGAGAAGTTTCTAGTTTGGAGATAGGAGACATGGAGCTGAAGGGCTTCCTACATAATGATCTCTGATTCCCACTTTTTCAACAAAGTAGGAGGCAAATTCTTTGCTCAGAGGGCAGAGGGATAATATAAGGGTCCTTGAGGATAAGGGTGAAGGTTTGAAATACCCACTTTGGAAAATGAGAGAAAGAATTTATTAGGGCCAGTTAGGCCACTCTGATACCCCAAGTTTGGCTGAAACAATGATTCATAGCTTCCTCTCTCCTTTCTTCCCTCTTTCTATCCATCTATTCATCCACTTATTATTTATTTATTTATTTATTTATTCTTTTGCAGTTTTTGACTGGGGCTGGGTTTGAACTCACCACCTCCAGCATATGGGGCCAGGGCCCTACTCCTTGAGCCATAGGCACCGCCCCATTCATCCACTTATTCATCTACCCACCTATCCGTCCATCCTTTCATATACACATATGTGTGTTGCTTTATCCCATCTAATAACTATATGGTAAACACATACTATGTGCCAAGTTCTGTATGCACACAACAGATATGACCTCTTCCCTTAAAGACTTTCTATTCTCGTGACTAGAGACAAATTGATCAGATGATTCCACTATGGATAGTGTTGGGATAAGGAAAATATGGAGTGCCAAGGGAGCACATAAAAGGGAGTATATCATTTGAATTTGGGCATGAGGAATGGCTTCCTCAGAAAGTGTGAAGTGGAATTAGGATAAGCAGGATTAAGCCAGGGAAAGATGAGGACTGGGTGTAACGAGTACTCCAAACAGAGGGAGGAAAGAAAAGGTAGAATCAAGTTCCCTGAGGCAACTAGAGCAAGATTCATTTGCGGAAGTGAAAAATAGTTTCATTTGGTTAGAATATAAACTAGGGTAGAAAGTAAGCATACCGTGAAGCTTTGTGCTCAGAATTTCTGCTTTCTCCTTCCTGATAGTGGTCATTGAAGAGTTTTAAATAGAAGAGTGAAGCAAATAGAACCACTTCAGACAACTTCTAGCAAATGGCAGAGTGGAGAACAGACCAGAAGTAGAGAATGGAGTAGAAAGATCAATTAGGTTAGGCAGCTGCTGTGGTCACTGGTGATAGGGAAAAGGTAGCTTCAACTAGGACAGGTGGCAGCAAGGATGGATGGAATTGGGCATATTCAAGAGATGTTTTTTGATGTAGAATTAATAAGATATTCACTGGGCACAGGAAGGAAGAGAAAGAAAAGAGTTGAGGATAACTCAGAATTCTGGCTTGAACAACTGGACAAATGAAGATGTCATTTATAGAGGCAAGGAATAGTGGAGAACTTGTAGATTTGCAGGGAAGGAGAATTACAGTAGTTTTTTAAAAAAAGTTTTCAGGTTTTTTTTGTTTTTGTTTGAGGCTGGGTTTAAACCTGCCACCTCTGGCATATGGGGCCAGCGCCCTACTTCTTTGAGCCACAGGTGCCGTCAATTTTTTTTTTTTTTTTGACACTGCTCCCATGAAGAGATGGAGTTTGTGTTCCTTCCCTTTTGAGTGGAGTAGGGCTTGGTGCCTTAATAGACTAATGCAGCAGAAATGTGACTTGCAAAGAGAGGTTAGAAAAGGCCATGAAGCAATTGTCTGCTTCTCATGAGATACCCACGCTGGGAGGCTTCCTCAGGGTGGTGCCTGCCATGTGGCTGCTTGAGTCATCCTCAGCCTACACACAGCCATGTGATTGGAGGAGCCTTCAAGATGATTCTAGGCCCTTCCATGATCTGATTACAAGCACATGAAAGTTCTCAAGTAAGAAATGCTGAGCACAGTGTACCCCCAGATTTGTGGGCATCCTAAATGATGATTATTATTTTAAACCATAGCATTGTGATGGCCTAAACAATAACAAATGAGACAGAGGTGATGAATTAAGCTTTGAACATGTGTCTGGAGAGTCTAGAGATGTTTCAAAACAGAAATTCAGGTCTGAGGCTCAGGCAAGTGCTTTAGGCTTAGGAGTTTACTTTTGCTCTTCAAAGCTTTTAACAGTCTTAGATTGTGTGTGTGCGTGCGCATGTGTGCATGTGTGTGCATCTGTGTGAGAGAGAGAAAGACAGAAAGTGAAAAGCAATATTATCTTTTTTATTCTATTTGATATGAATAGTAATTCCTCGAAGAAATAAGGGGCAGATTATTATACCCATTACAGAGTTGAAGGAGCTGAGACTCAAAAAGTTTTTATGATTATAGAACATCCCACAGCATAGAACCCAGATTAAACATAGGTTTTCTTGCTCCTTGTACAATGCTGTTTCCATTGCACCTTGCTAAGTGCTGGGGGGTGATGGTAAATGACTAATAGTGGAGGATGCCCTGAATCATGGCTTTGAACTCAGAGAACTAAGAAACTCAAGTCTGGAGAGATGAAGGAGGAGATCTAAGAGTGGTTCTCAAACCTTTCTTTCTTTCTTTTTTTTTTTTTTTTTTTTTTATTGAATGGTAACTATGTACATTAATGCACTTCTGGGGTACAGTGTGGGGTTTTCACATGCAATCTGAAGTACTTCCATCAAACTGGTCAACACAGCCTTCATGTCATTTTCTCAGTTATTGCTTTAAAACGTTCACATTCTACTCTTAGAAAGATTCACCTGTACCCCTATAAGGTAAACCTCAGAAGTAATCCCTCCAGGTTCTCAAACCTTTCTATGAAATATCCCTTACCAGAGGAGAGAACTACTTGTATCCCCAGGAGGATATGATCTTATGCTCTAAAAGGAAGTTCTTTGAAGTCATTCGTTTGTTTATTTAACAATGACTTATTTAGCACATCCTATGTTCAAGGCACTGTGCTAAGTTCAACAGCATAACCCTGTGTGGTTCCTGTCCTCATAAAGCTTAAGGATACAATCAAACAAGAAATTCACAAACCTCGATCTGGTGCCTGAGCTTTCCAGGAGGAAGTTGCATGAAGATGGAAGCCAAAAGGAGAGGTAATGAGAGAGGGAATTAAAAAAATAAAATAAAAGAGAGAGGGAATTCTAGGCAGAAGGAAAGAAATGTACATAGGCCCAGATGTAAGAGGGAAAACACCTTTTTATAGGACAAACAACAAAATTAAGTTTAACCAGAAAATGGTTAATAGGGGCAAAGCCACAAATTGGAGATTAAAATGACTATCTGTAGGCATAATCTATGCATAAAAGAATTCAGACACATTGACCTTCATTAAGATTCCCTGGGAATAGTCTCATAAAAGCCTAATAATATTAACATGGTTTGGAAGTTAGACATGAGCGTCTTTAGAAGAATTTCTTAATCACTCTGACAGTTTTCTTTTATGAAAAATGTAGATAATGATCACCACCTCACTAATTGCTAATGAAAACTATTTGATAAATGAGATAGAATTTATCAAATACAGAATGCCTAGCACAATGCTAGACACAGAGTAAATGCTTGATTTTTCTTTCATTAACCTAAGGTATAGAAATGGATGGTGCTAACCTAATCAAAACCAAAACCACTGATACAGAAGATAATATAATCAGGAGTGACCTACATGTTTTGACCAAAGGAGAATAAATGACCAGGATGAAACCTAGAAAAGGTAAAATCAGAGAATGACCAACTGGCAGGGTGTGTTCAACATATCTAGAAATAGTCCCGAAGTATTCCAGTTCTCAATGGCAGCTCTATTTTTCCCAACAGTTGGGTTAATATTTCACATCATCACCCACTCTCAAGGCCATTCCAAGGTGCTATGAGTTGAGTCCGCCCCTGGCATCCCATACAACTACAAGTGTCTCTAGACTTGCACAGTGGTGAACCAGACCCAAAAGATGGCCGCCACGAGAGGCAGAGCGAGTGAGTGACCAGCTAGGTTTCCTCCACACATCACTATCTCATCTCTCTAACAGTTACATACTGTCAAAAATTTATGATTCTGTGTAACTTCCCCATGTGTATTTATTTTTACGCATAGTGGTAAGCATTAAAGCCCTTCAATTACAAAAGACCTGAGTAATTATTTGGGGAATAGCAAGAAAAAAAAAAAAACACCTTAACTCCTACTTCTCCGCTGGCTTGGAAAGAAAGGAAGTAGATGAAGAAAGAGGGCAAGGCAACTTTAACAGAAAAAGAGAAGTTCGTTCAGCCCCTGGGCATACAAAGGGTACTAGGACAGGCTGTGGCAGAGGAATGGACCTTACTTAACTCTTAACAATCAATGCTTTGGTGTTCCTGTGATACCGAGGCACCTCTGGCCTTTTCTCAGAAGCCCTGGTTCAGAGACCCTGGACAGAGCAACCCTTTCCAAGTTTTCCTTCCTACAATTTTCATTTGTCTGGGGATAATGACAATATTGTTTACCTTGGTTTAGGACACAACTCCTTGCATACACAGAGATATCAAAGAACGCGTAAGGGAACACAGTGGTCTGAGCATAAAACGTGGCAGCTTTTGCTGAGAACTTCCTTTTACTCAAAATGCAAAAACAAGCACTTTCCTACAGCAGCTTCACAGACCACCGCACACGAGGTGAAATACAAAGGTTGTACTTCTCCATCTCCTCAGTATCCTGTTTGTGTCATGTCCTCTTGGGAAAAAAGGTGGAGCCTGATTCTCCAAGGTGAAGAGGCATTCCCCAACCTCACACTAGCCCTGCTCCCTAGAAAGGAAGTCTCTGGTACCTCCAGACCAGACCTTACTTCCAAGGTTGAGGCACATCCCAGTACTCTGTTCCCATCTATCCACACCTTTGGTGCAGTCACCTGAAAACACTTGGTAGAAAGTACCTTGAGTGCTGACGGCCAGGAGTAGCAGAGACAGCAGCAGCAGTTCTATGGGCACACACCACGTCCATCCTCTGGACCTCATGCTACTATCCAGAGCTTCTCCGGAACACCAGAGTCAGTTGAGAGTCAGGCTAGAAAAGGACCCTGGCTAAAAAAGGAACTCACCATGCAGGGTTAGAAGGAAGTGCCCACTGATCTTTTGGTTCTACTCTTCACATTTATGGGGCAACAGATAGCTGAAACAGGAAGTCACGTAGATTTTTGTATCAGAGCTGTCTAAATACGCATGAGCAGTTTTGTTGGGGGTGGGGGGGGGAAGATTCAAAACTTCTACCGGATTCTCAAAGCAGTCAGTGCTCAGTAAAGAGGAAGGGCCCCTGATAAGAGAATATCTGCTTTTGGTTCCTGGACAGGAATCATCCTGATTAATTCCAGAACCAAGATAGCAGATGCCTGTCTGAGGATGGCAGGTCTCATTCAGAGCAGATGGTCTGAGAAATCAGATAGTGCTGCATCCCCACCCACCCACCCCCTCCTCTTCTTCCTTTATGATAAATTTACTGTTTATACCTTTGAATCAGCCTGTCCACAGCACATTAGTAGGCAAGTAAGATCAAGTAAGACTACTTGGCCCACAAAAATAGATTTTCAGCCCTTGAAGTCTAAAAAATTTCCAGCCCATTCCTCTTGAATCTAAATGAATTATTTGCCCACCCAAGATCTATAAGGCAAGCCACAGTCCCTGATACAACATGTTTGGAATCACTTAAGATTTGAGGATATTTCTGATTCTCAACATGGAGGTGTCTAACATGGAGGTAAAATGGGCATTACCAACTATTTAAACTCCTGTCACCCATTCTATGAACTCCTGTGACAGAAGTAGTCATCCCTAAACCTGGAGGACATTATGTTAAGTTAAATAAGCCAGGCATAGAAGGATAAATACTCCATGTTTTACTGCACGATAATACCTCTCACCTGTATGTGGGAGCTAAAAAAAAAATTGAATTCAAGGAAGGATAGAGTAGAATTGTGGTTTTTAGAGGCTGGGAAAGGAGGGAGCAGGGGTAAATAGGCAGATACAAAATGGTGGTAAACAATTATAAGATGGATTGTATATTGGGTCAAACATACTGGCTTGGCGTCTGTAGTGCAGTGGTTATGGCATCAGCCACATACACTGGGGCTGGCAGGTTCGCATCTGGCCTGGGCCTGCTAAACAGTGACAAGTACAACAAAAAATAGGTGGATGTTATGGCAGGTGCCTGAGATCCCAGCTACTTGGGAGGCTGAGGCAAGGGAATTGTTTAAGCTCAAGAGTTTGAGTTTGCTGTGAGCTGTGATGCCACAGCACTCTACCAAGGGCAACATAGTGAGACTCTGTCTCAAACAAATAAACAAACAAAAACAACATACTCCTTGTGCCCTTCCCTGTTTTAAACCTTTAGGTTTGCACTTATCTCCCCTTATATGAGAGATATATGCAAATGGGGGATAATCAAGGAACTAAAAAAATAGTTGGTAATGCCCTGGGATTCACAAAATCTCTTACCAAATTATTCCCCAGTGCATTATTTATAAATCTTGCCAAATCTCTGGAGGAAACTAACACCCTCCAGGAAGCCCCCACAGGCTCAGATTCCCTTGTGGGACTCCAAATTAATTTTTAAAATTTACCTCCATCTTTTCTCACTTTTGGTTATTGCATCTATGATTTGGGGACAGACTGGATACTCTCTAACTGGATGTGCTGATGCTACAACAGTGATAAGGAAATTAGTAACTGAGGCTATTCTTTATTTTGGTATTCCTTTATGGATTGAGTCAGATCAAGGGACTCATTTTACAGCAGCTTGCAAAAGCTCTGGAGTACTTATTAAAATTTCATATCCCATATTATCACTAATCCTAAGGGCAAGTGGAACATTAAAAATCTAGAAATAAAAATGATTTGGGGGGAAATCTGTCAAAATATTAGACTTTAATGGTGAAAATCATCACTTTTGGCCCTTATAAAATCCAGAATATTCCAAATAAGAGACATGGATTAACCTATTTTGAAATGTTCTTCAGTCACCTCATACCTACTGATGCCAAAACCATCTATTCTGGGGCTGGCTGAACACTTATTGGGATTTAAGTAAATAATTTGATGCCATGACTAGTTGCATACAGGCTCTAAATCATATACTTGGAGCATGTCATCAGCACGTGAAAGGAACATGGCCTCCACCAGCTGACAGGCCTTGCCAGCCTTTTTGACTAAGAGATCTTGTATACATCAAAGTTTTTGGAAGGCTTTTTGCGCCCCTTAGAAAGAGCCTAGAGTCTGGTAGGCAAAGGGGGCCTCTCTCCACCACTCCCCATGGGCTGAAGCCCCTCCCTCCAAGCCTGCCACTCCCTGACTTCCCTGCCCCCACATCTTGCTCTGCTCTTGGATATAGTCTGGAACAGACATCACTGGCAGGGAGCTGGGACGACCTCTGAGCATAGCATCCTGTCACTCTGCTGGGAAGACCTATATGAACTACTATTAACCACCCACACCACCATCAAAATAAAAGAAAAAAGTTTTCCTGGTTTCATACAAGCCCTGCCAAACTGCAGTGAGGTAATTGGAGGATTACAATAAAGATTTCCAAGGCCAGCTCCCAGGCCCCTGAAGCAGACACCTTTTTCCCAAGATTGCGGATCAAGAAACCAATTTTTTTTTTTAATCTAAAGCCTCAATTTTTTTCCATTTTTTAATATCCCCTCATAAAAGAATATTTTATTTTATTTTATAAAGTTTGTTAATTAGTAACAATTGCTAGTAAGAGCACATGAAATATTTTTAATTCATATTATACTACTTATTAGCAATTTATCTTTGTCTTCCTTTAAATTTTTTTTGTTTTTTTTATTAAGTCAAATACACATAGCTCATGAATATGTTCATGCATATGTGGGGTACAATTGCTGATTTTTTTTTATACAATCTGATGTGGTTACATTAAACCAATCAACATAGCTTTCACCTCATTTACTTGATTTTTGTGCCAAAACATCTATGTGCTACCTTCACAGATTTGACTTGTACCCTTGTCATATGCTCCATAGGGGTGGTCCCGCCTTTTACCTTCCCTCTGTCAAACCTTTCCCCTCCCCTCCCAAAGGATCTTTCAAAATACTTCTTCTTTTAAGCCTTCCCCTTCTAACATTGCATATTGGAAGCTGAGTGGTGATTGCCTCAACCTGTCCCATCCTCATTTTAATCTTTCACTATGACTCTTTCAAATTATGCCTTGCTTTTACTAAGCTTTACTGTTTTTCCAGTAGGTCAATCATAGACCAAGTATCCCTTTGCACCACTCTTTCAAATCCTGGCCACACTAATTGATCTAATTACTGGTTATGACAAATGTAGACCACGCAAAGGAACCTGAACTCATTTTGTTTTGACCAGTGTGAGTGCCTAGTGGAGCTTGTCTGGAAGATGAATGTGTAATAGGATGTGACATCCACAACCGGAAAACACAAAATGAAAAACCATCATGCTTCTTCTGTTGGTGAGTCAACTGGACATAGGAAAACCCCTGTGAAAGCTCATGAGCTTTCTTTTAAAGTCATGAGAGTCATGTCTTTTAAAGTCATGAGAGAGAATTTTTGTTTTTTCTGGGTGACATACTAGGGCAATATCATGATCAAATCTGATGATTTTATCCTACAGATGGCATTCTTACACCTCCTAGGTGATACTCACACTAACCCTCCTAATGTCAATGCTTAAATCACCAGATATGGCCAGTGCCTGTGGCTCAGTGAGTAGGGCGATGGCCCCATATACCGAGGATGACGGGTTCAAACCCAGCCCCAGCCAAACTGCAACAACAAAAGCAACAACAAAAAAATCACCAGATGTTATGGATGGCTCACACAGAAGGCCTGTGCAACTTGGGGTAGCTCACTTATTCCCCTTGTTCATTTGCCAGACACTAAAGATTACATATAGACGGATCAAATGTCTGGACTAACTTTGTTAGGAGATAAAACCAAGCCCTGTAACTGCCAGACCCAGACCAAAGTCCTTTTATATCAAATATTTGCCAATGTGAGTGCCTAGTGGAACCTGTATGGAAGATGAATGTATGCCAGTACGTGGCGTCCACAATCAGATACTGCTTCTGTTGGTGAGTCAACTGGACACAGGAAAACCTCTGTGAAAGCTCAAGAGCTGTCTTTTGTTCAGGAAAGTCATGAGAATGAATTTTTATTGTTTCTGGATGACATACTAAGGCAATATCATGATCACACCTGATGATTTGATTCCACAGATGACATTCTTCCACCTTTAGATGATGCTCGCACTAACCCTGCTGATGTCAATGCTTGTTCCCAGAGATTGGCAGCATACACAGAAAGTGGAGATGTGGAAGAAAAGGCACAGCAAACTCCAGGCTGAGAGGTCACAGGTTCCAATCTGACACTATCCATAAATAATACTGGTCTTCTGGCAGTGCCCATGGCTCAGTCAGCAGGGCGCCAGCCACATACACCAAGGGTGGTGGGTTTGGACCTAGCCTGGGCCTGCTAAACGACAATGACAACTGCAACCAAAAAATAGTTGGGTATTGTGGCAGGTGCCTATAGTTCCAGCTACTGGGAGGCTGAGGCAAGAAAATTGCTTAAGCCCAAGAGTTTGAGGTTGCTGTGAGCTGTGATGCCATGGCGCTCTACCCAGGGTGACAGCTTGGGACTCTGACTCAAAAACAAAAAAAAAAATACTAGTTTTTTTATTGTGTTTGGTGATAAAGTGTACAAGTGCGTCCACCCAGAGAGTCAGGATGCTGTGGACCTGGTTATCTGATGCCCTTTGTTACCAGGTATTCCACTTTAAATGCCAGCCAAACTACAAACTTGGGCTCTTCTGTTCATAAAATGGTACCACACAAATGTAGTGGATGTGTTATTATTAAAAACTTACTTGTATATCAAAATTATAAGTTATTTTTGGTGCTCAGGACTCTTTTCCTGACATTTCCAACTGATGAGATTGAAAAGACAGTTTTAAATCTAGCCCTGGTAGTAGAATAGTTTATTATCACTATGCAAGCATTTAGAGCACTTCAGTTAGAAGTCAACAGCCCAGCCTCTGTTGTATTTGAAAACTGCCATGTCCTTGAGCCTTGACAACCTAACAGGGGGGAAAATTCTGTT